ATTCTGATACTTATGTATCTTTATTCATTATTATTATGAATAGGTGTCTCTAGGTGTGAATAATAAATTATTAGAAATAATTGTATCCAAATACCTATAGCATAACTTTATAGTCAATAAAAATTCGATGATGCTATCAACAATTTGTGGGTGCTAATATAATTTTTGGGGGTGCTAAGCACCCCCAAGCACCCCCCAAATTGCGCCTATGACCACTAACAATGCGTGTACATTTTTATCAAGAATGTTACATTTTGTCCTGACTCGACAGCAAATATGTCGAATGGTGTTCATCGTTCACTATAAAAAAGCATACTAAATGCTAACTGAATAGCAATACATAAGCATTTTTTTTTTTTATAAAGATAATTTAATAAGTTAATTACACGGAGATGTCGATACGTTTTTTACTACGTGGCTCAAATACAATGCAGTAGGTGATGAATATTTGTTCTTTGGATGATATTATAATGTCTCACCTGCTCATTTTTATCATTGATGAAATAGGTATAATAATAATAATAATTTTATTAAATACATACGTGCATTGCATTTGATGGAATATTAAGTAGGTATTAAGTAATACATACTACACACGATAATATCATAATATATTCCGTATATAGGTAATCGCTAATCAGCTATAATTAAGATTCTGTGGCTTTATCGCTTCGTTATCATTTAAAAAAATATCTAATGGTTAAATTAGTGACCAGAATATTTTATAAACGATCTATGTGCCTATATCATTTAATATTTATAAAATCTGCGTCGGTTCAAACGGCGTTTGATTCACTTTTTGAACATTTTAACGTTTTGAAATGGCTTTTTAAAACTTCATTAATTTGTTATTAAAGCGGTAAAGAGTTTAATATTAAAATAAAATATAATTATATCGACTTGATTATTATTCATGTCTGTTTCTAAAAGTTTTACAAAAATATTCTAACCGTATCATATTAATTAAACCACAACCTCACCTGACCGACCTGTCAAACATGCACAATAATATTTCATTATAAACAGTCATAATATTATTATATACATTATAGTATGTTGCATTTGTGCGAAAAGGTTCGGAAACAGTGAGAGGTTTTGAGTCATGTATAGAAAAGTACCGGAAAGTACATGGAAATATATTAATATGATTTTCATCTCCTGCGTACTATACGCCATTTACCTATGTGTCTAAACCAACGTTTCTCAAAGTGTGGGTCGTCAGTCAATTTTTGGTGGGTCGCGAACATTTTTTTTATTATATAGATTCTCATCTTCATACATGTGTTAAGTAGGATTTTCGGCAGTGGTGAGCATCAAAAACAAACATCGGAACAAGCTAAAGTTATAGAACTCCTTAAGTTTGAAAATAATTAAAATTGACATCGATGTCAATGCTGTTATTAACCATAACAGAAAACAAGCACACATTTCGCATACACCTCATTAATAAAAGTACATTTCTAAAAATATATTAATTGTAAACCTATAAAATACTAAATACCTAATAAAAATGTATACATATTATGAAGGGTTACGGGGAAAAACGATAATAGTCAATATTCCTAATATGTTCAGTACCTATTGCAGTTTTAAAGTGGGACTCTGACCTTTTTTTCCCGTTATGGTAATATTTAAACCTGTATTATATCATTGACCGTGATCTTTTTCCATAACTCGATTCACGTGTCGATTCGTTATGATACTAACCAAAAGGTTCTATAATTATTTGATTTTTTCTTTCTTTTGACTATGATCGTTTTTCCCCGTAACCCTTCATATTTATATAATACAAATTTGGTTTTCTACTACCTACTTTTTGAAAAGTGAAACAATGTGGGTCGCGAAAGATTTTTCGTGGGAAATTTGGGTCGCTGTAATAAAAAGATTGAGTAACACTGGTCTAAACTAAAGTTGAATAATATAATACGTGATTTAATGAACGTTTTATAATGGAAGAAAAAATAATGAATTTTGCTTTATTTAAAAACGATAAATCCATAGGTAATAGTAATAATAATAATAATAGTAATATATGGGTCACCGACTCACTGTATATTCAAACTAGAGGTTCAATAAGGTAGACAAGAATGAAAACAAAACAAATAGTACCTAGTTTGTGTGATTAAATAAATATTTAAATCCTCCCTTGGGTTTAGGGGTTTAGGGGTTCAACCCCCCCCCCCCCCCCGAAATTTTTAAAGTAGGTATATATTTATAATATAGGTAACAAAAACTAACTACATACGTCTTTGAAATATTTTAAACCCCCCCCCCGAAAATTGATCCTGGATACGTGCTTGCTTAAGTGTAGATTTTACTTTGGGACTTTTTTACTTACGAAATGGTGTTATTGAACGAAAACATTAACATAAACGTTAATTAATATCAACGAATCTGTTATTATTGTAATGCGAATACCGGGATTAAAATAATAATCTATATATATATATCATATTATAGTTTCCTTTTCCTATCATCGAAAAATTAAAAATTAGAAAAAACATTTCAGCCAAGGTTAGCGAAACGACTCTCATTTTTAAAAAAATTGGATATTATAAAATAATTCGTTTTTATGTTACTTTAATGATAATTTATTGTTGTTATAATTAATCTCGATGACAATAATAATTAAGGTAAATCGACAACACCCGCCTATACCCAGTTGTAGGTATATATATTATACACCTCCAGAACAGCTGCAGATGCGTTGTCAAAACTCAGAAGCTTTCTCGTTAGTCTGACTTAAGTATTTTTATGCAGTGTAAATATCAAATACAGTTATATACATATAATGTGTTTCTATATATTAATATATTGTAAATAAAACAATTATAGGTAAATTGTGATAATTCGTTGGCATATTGAAATTATTTTATTTACTTTGTACCTATCTGTAACTTCGTAGGTATTGTTCAAACTATACAGCGTACATTTCATTAAAATCTTGTAAATTAAAACTAGCATAATCGACCTCATAATAATATACAAAATGTTATTCCATTTTTTCAGTGTAAAAAATGAATTATTAAGCTCGTTTAAACTCACTTTAACACACTAACTTCACTCTGACGCGGTCAGTTAACCTAACTTTTAGTAATAGTAAATAACACATATTTTCCACTTCAGCTTTTATTGATACAATGTATTTTAATAAAACTCTATTGGTATTTGGCAGATTTTAATCAGTTTCCAGTGGAAAAAATCAGAATAAATAATTATTTTTTAAGAAATTGTACATTATAATATTGTATTACAATTATATTGGATTGGAAGGAAGTGGTTATTTATTAAGGGGCAACAATAAGCAATTTCTAATCTCGTCGTCATCGCCTTGGATCTTAGCGTTTTGCGTTAGTCGTATAATATGATGGTTATTATTTATTTATTAGTGAGAATGAGTTTCAATATGGCCAATATGGGCGGTATGATGAGTCTCACTCTCGTATAAGCATCCACAAATGCACAATAATGTGCACTATTATGTCAATAACTCACAGATAGGTAACAATATAAAAACTGTCACTCCTCGTAAGTCATAGAGATCTGATTTCGATAATTTTTTGTTTTTGGAAAGAGAAACACTTCTTAAAGGACACATTGAAATTTGAATTTCAAATTTATATTTCTAAACCATATAATATGATTTTGAATATGATAAAATTGCACAAGCTTTTATTTTAATTTTTATTATTTTAGTCATTTTTCATTTAAACAACGAAATCAAGAATCAGAGTCCAATGAGCCCCCTGTGGAATTTATCTTCTTTCTAACAAAAAAAAAAAATATATGAAATCAGATCACTCTACGAGAGTCTTTATTGTTTTTAACAAAAAAAAATTACGCATTTAATTTTTGGACAGCGGCGCCGTTGACATTTGCGGGCATACAACATGTGCCTAGATAGCCCCGTACCCTTATACAATTACCACCACACTCACACTAATCGTCATTGGTGCGCGTCGGTGTATGTGTGTGACGCGTCAAATAAAAATGTTGCGGAGCGTCAAGCCGTGATTCCACGACGTGTGTTGTGTGTGTGTGTGTGTGTCGCATGTCATAATAATAATATAATATGTACATAGCACGCTCCTCGCGATACGTCGTGTGATCCCGGCTTTAAAATACTTATAATTTAAAAACTATACCAACACGTTCAAAATTCGACTTTTGAACGAAGGATATGAAAAATGTTCTGTTTTGGAATAAAGAATCAATATCAAATAATACTACATAATAGTGTGTTGTATTAGAGAAAACAATTTTTTTTTATCAAGACTTGAAATCATGTAGGTAATTATTACGAAATTTTAAGCATTTATAAACGAAGGTTGATTGTATTGAAATTGGATACAAGCAGTGCAGTATTACCAGTTGTAAACAGTATACCAAAAAACACATGGGTAGTATATTATAGACTATAACAGTATACGGTATTTGCGAAATAACCGCAAGTTAAATAAAAAAAGTAGAACCGTCCGACCCATCGTAAACGACAAACGTTGAAATTGCCTATAAATGATTTTAAATAATTAATACGGTTTTGTCCAATATCAGAATCACTGGGTAATGATAACGTGTAATAATAATAATCGTTATATGAATAAAATCGAAAATTCGCGATTTACGATAGGTACCGCATGATTGCAGCCGCACGCCTACACACTAAACAGAGTGTACGCGTTGCTCCTGTAACACGTGCGCGGTCGAAACCGACACGTTTGAGAACGGTAAAAATGATTCAAGTGAAATGAGCCCGTTAGGGCCTTCAAAAATTGCCTACGCGGACAGTGTTTCATGTCCACATGGCGGGGTATTGGTTAAAGTTTTCAACTAGCAATAATCGCACCTCGGATGGACCTCATTAGTTACGATATCGCCACTGCGCAAAGCTGATGATACCGCCGTTTCGGGGCCTTTTTATGCTGTTCCGCGGTCTTGGCTGACGTGCAGACGCCCGTCGAGCGGCGTCCGCGTTGGCGGACTCGTCCACCGTCCAGAAGTCATTCGAGCCATCGACGGCGTCGGCCTCGGACCTCCGCGTGGCCACCCTTCGATACAGTGAACGATGAAAGCTGGACACCGGCGTCCGTCCACCGGATTTCGGGACGCCGGTGGGCCGGTCGAAGGAGGTCGCGCGTTTGGCGCGCTCTGTCGGCCGTAGACAGTACTGCCGCGGCGATCGTAGCCGGCGGGTCGACAGATATTTTGACGGAGACGGACGAATGCACGCCGTCCCGTCCTCCAGACGGAGCCATTGACAAGTCGGCCGAGAACTAATTCCCGAATAATAGTAATAATAATAATAATATTATTTGCACGTAATAGAATTAATTAATATTTTAATCTAAATATCTAATCCGTCATCTTACTCGACTACTCGACTGAATATTATTATAATTTAATTCAAAGAATAAATCATAACGGAAAGTAATAATTATTGTATTATCATTGTATTATTGTAATCATTGAAAACATATTATTATAAATTTATAAACAATTCTGCGCGGTTAAAGTAACAATTTATTATCTTTATTTGAAAAAATTAAATATACAATCTGTATTACTACTTATTCCGTTATTCCTGCCATGCTTTCTTTATCGTTTTCCTTATTTTTCTTAATTCCCTTTGCTTTTTGTTTATTTATATATTAATAAATATTTTAGCGTACCTACCTGACTACCCCGTATATGACATTATACGGACACGTGAATACCTAGAGTTATAAAAGTTGGGTCAACTACTTTTAGCACATTAATTTAGGCCCATTTCACATCAGCTACATTCTACGCGAATCTTACCTACGCCCACGTTTAGTTTAGATGGGTACCTACATGGTACAATATTGTTTAAGTTCATACTTCATAATATGAACATTGAACGGCACATCGGCACGTATGAAATTGAACAATATAGAACAATACTTGTGGGTACCTAATACCATTGGTTATGAATTATATAATATTATGAATATTATGGTACCTACTAAAAATAATGCTATAATATTGCTCACTGCTGTACCTACAAAATACACTACGCTAAATTTATCAGCGAACCTGGTGTTATTATCCAAAACTGACTTTGTAAGATACGCCACCCGGTCAATTCTGGACACGGACTAAGAAATTAAGATATACAGGACTGGAATCGTAATGGCCGGGGGATAGTAGAAGGCCGGTCCTCAAATGTTTCTAATGGTACAGGTGTGGTTACTAGCGCATTCTGGTAGTGTATATTGGCAACGTACTAAAATAATAATATATTATAATTACTGAAATTGTATTTTTGAATTTTGAAACATAATCCTAGTGGTTACTTTATAGTTTATAGTATATTTTGTAGACTAATTATCAGACTTAAGTGACTGTACGTAACATTGGTTTGTGTTCATCTGATTTTAAAATACCTCGTCAATGTGTTGAGTGTTCGGTGATTTCGTGCTCAAGTAAAATATACAAGAAAGAAGTCCTGTCACACTTAGTTTCAAATTTCATAATTATGAGGATGAGACAGTATTCCCTAATTAGTAATTAGTAATAAAAATAAACCCAAAATGAATGCGAAAAAAAAAGTTTGCAAAATTGGATAATACTTAATGTTCATAATGTTTAAATGTTGTTATACATATTAATAGGTATACCAATTACCAATACACAATATACAATTTTATTTCATTTCTATTATTTCAATAAAATAAACTAACTTAGGTAATGTTTATTTATAACTTATTATACCTATTGCTAATTTGTTATATTTAATTTTATTACAATTCACTAATATTCTTTTTTTTTCATAAAATATACATTGTTGGTTATTTATATAATTAATATATTTATCTTATATCTATGTATATATTTTTTAAAATAAAGTTTGTTTTAATAAAGTAATATTTTAGGAAGTTGTTATATCCTGTAGGCGGTAATAATACCAATCGTTAAAAGTATGGTCTTAAAGTATTAAGTCAAGGCAATAGTTAGATAATAGATATTATTAATTTAAGTCATAAAAATCCTTAAATTTTAAATACATTGCATTGAATATCACACAAATACATTATTAATTCTAATAGTATTATCTCTACCATAGACATATTAATAATTATTAATATCAATATGTCTATGATCTATATCCACATAGTCATTTATGTTGTGAAATACCAACATTTTTCAAACTTTAAATTGCTTCAGTAATTTGTACTAAGCAGTAAGCAGTACCCTTAGTTATTAAAATAATTTATGTTGATTTATTTGTAAATGTTTTAAAGGAAACATCAAATTTAATAATTTTGCAAAAAGTTTACCGGTGTACAATGAATATTATGATTAATGTGTAATTTCTAACATAGATGGCGCTAGGTACTACACTTGTACCTTTGGAAACATTTGGGGATCACTGATAATGTTTTCGATACCAGACGCCAGTCCTGTAAATCTTAGTCCGTGGTTCTGGATAATAACAAAAGGTCACTAGGATCGCTAGTAAATTTAGGGTAGCGTATTTTGTACCCCAGTGAGCATTCTACATATTAATAATAATTAATATAGACATAATATAGTAATAGTATAGTATTAAAAACCAATTCTCATACAGTAATACCTAAACCCAGTGCCGCATTTAGACATTTTGCCTCCCCCTAAGGCCTGGAGAAAAAAATTACTCCCCCCTAAGGGGCCTACCCACGGAAAATATGGGAGATAGATCTTTATTAACCTTTTAGATTTTGAGCACAGAAAAGAATATTTATTGTACAAAGTTTGCTTTTTTCAAACATATTGTTTAGATACATTTGAATATTTGTCACTTAAACCTTGCTTATAATTCATCATACAAGTTGTTTTTGATTTAACATATTTAAGTAGGTACTTCATGAATGAATACAATTTAATTACAAAATAAATATTTTTAAATTGTTTACAAAATGGAATTATAGTTTATTATTGCGTTGTATTAAAATGCGTTTATTGAGTTTAGAAACTGGGAATATTTCGCTGTCGAAAAGTGAGCTTTCCTAATAAATGTTTATTTTATTTTCCGCGACGTATTGACATGACGTGTGTGTGTGTGTGTGTGTGTTGTGTGTGTGTGTGTGTGTGTGTGTGTGTGTGTGTGTGTGTGTGTGTGTGTGTGTGAGTGTCAGTTAAAAGCGATAACGGATGTTCATACTAATGTTCATACTTCATATTATATTGCTATAATATAATATTATACTCACCGATATTCACAATTCATACAGTCCAAAACTTACATGTCATAATATATAGCCCAAATATTATGTACGTTCAATCACATCGAAAGTAAAACGCGTAATTCAAAATTCTATAATATTGGTCCATTACGCGATGGGACACAATAAATGATTGGCTACTAGAGAATAACGTAAAAAATAATATTTGCAGTGGCGGTTTTAGCGTACGGTTACCTATAGGGTGGGCAGCTGCTGAGCGTACTTGACATTTCTGGTGCCCCTTCTTAAAAAATTAAGTAATGTACCTACCGCTAATATTTACCTATTGTTATTAAGTTTTTTTGGAGGCAATAACATAAATATTTTTCCAAGATAATATATGGTGGGAGGGGGGAATTTTATTCGCAGATAAGACCGAATAATAACATTTATTGTACCGTTGCCCGTACAAAAATGAAGTCCTAGAAGTTAGAACCGCTCATTTTATACTAAAAATACATTTATTTATCTATAGTATACGATTCATTTTTAACAAATATTGGATGTCTAGGTATTATTATTTTTTTTTTATCTGGATGAGATACAGATAAATAATATTTTACCTTGATATACTGCAGCTCAACCCTATGCTGCAAGTTTGCAAGGATTTAATTATTATTACTCGAATGGTTATAATTTCAAAATAATTATTACTCGATTTAGGGCTATTTGGAGCGCAACAAATTATTCACCCAAGAATATTACAAGTTCTACGCCGAATGGTGTATTCTGCAGCATACACTCATTGTATTGAAATACGTCTCAGAATATAATACCTAACATAACGCGTACGGTGTACGATTTAAGATTGTCACATTTCAGTATTTCACTGTGTACAAATAATATAATATTACCTATAAATATATTATTATTTATGTGAAATCTTAAAAAAAATTAACTTAGTCGTTTAGAGGATGCTATACACGCATTATTTGTTGTCTCCCGATCTCCGTCTAACAAACGTGTAACATAGTAAGTTTACACCCAGGGCTCAGCAGGTCACGTTTAGCTTCGTTTGTTTAAAAATTAGAGTGAATTAGTCTATTGGCTATGGTGGAACTTAATGGTAAGAAAATTATCCATGTTTGTATGTGGCCGTATGAGTTGCTTCCAATAATTCGGTTTATTTAACCACGAGTTTCGAGGGTGTTGGTCGTGAATATATTTTGCTATCATATTATTTTTATATCAACTCCAATGAAGGTGGTATTAAGAAGTAGGTATTTTGGTTTAAACTGTGACATTTATTTTATAACATTTATTTAGATACTTAAAAGTTCATAACATCAAACCATTCAATCACTGCAGTTTTTAAATGAAGAATGATATTTTTCTGTTTTAGAAAAACGCTATTGAATGGAAGACGTTTTTGTATGTGTTTTGTAATAGTATAACAATTTCATAGGTGTTATTTATATATTAGACACACAATATTTATAAACACTTTTTTGGCAACATTTTCTCTGTTTTGCTTTAATCCATTCGTTTAATATATACAAAAAGATACGACTTCTGATAGTTTTCGTGGTATTTCGAGTATTTTAAAATTGCGAATTTTTTTAAGCTTTATTGTAAACAAACAATAAAAAGAAAGAAAAAAAACCACTAAAAACGCCGAAAATGTCAAACTACAATTTACAACTTGTGTAATACTGAAATGTTCGAGGTATTTGTTTATTTTCCATTTTCCGTTTAGACAATTGGAATTCGGATCGAATAGTTTTATTAAATGCTCTGAGCTCAGAGAAGCGTTTTAAACTACTGACAAGTTATATTTTAATGGCTTAATTTTTTGGCGTCCATACACGTTTGACGTGTCGATATAAATATTTTATAATTTATTATGATAATTTGAACATCGGCGTACATACTCGCATTTGTAGCGCAAAACCTGGTTGATATGTAAAATAATAATATTGTAAGTAGTTTATAAGTACATAATAATGGATTATTATTTATTATTTCAGTAGGTACCTAGATAATTTTGTCTACTAATAACGCATTACGCTTATTATGGTTCTTACTATATATTC